GCCGCCGTTCACAAAATGAGTGATAGGTTCCCAAGTCCGCTGCAACCCTAATTTTTCTCTTTTCTTTCTCTCAGGTTCATAAGGGGCGGTTTGGTTGATTTTCTAGAATAAAAAAAAGGATAAGGATATCACTAAAACTTGTCTTCTATCCATTTCCTCAAAAAAAAGTCGTGAAATGGGTTTCCTTAAAATTGTGTCACATCCTCCAATCCTCCAATAAGATGATGACAATTTATCTCATCTCTTCTCTTTTCTTACTTTTAGGAGGTGAACCAAACAAAAGAAAAGAACCTATTATAGGAAATAGGTTTCCCATAATAGATTTTCTTTTTTTTAACCAACCAAACAGCCCCTAAGAAACCCTTAAACATGAGAACGGGTTAAACGGATTTGGGTTTTTATCACTAAACCCAAACCCGATAACAAAAACAAATCTAAAAAAGGGCATATCGGCCGATTTTTCAAAGCTGAAAAATCGGCCGCATGCCAGATATGGCCCTGATATTTCTGATTTGACCCTGAAAACCAACATACGAGTTAAAAACGCCCATGTCGTGTCACTCAAGCTCTCAAACCAACATGTCGGACATGTCGGTTGATATTTAAAACCTTGTTAAAATGTGCATTAAATTTTCTCATAAACGTACTTTAAATTAGAAACCACTTTCCTTGTTTAAAGGCTAACTACTAAACCTTGTGAGCAATAACAAAATTGAGGGACAGAACCAGGGCCCTTTACTTGAAAATGCTAACTAGCACTGATAAAGGTTGCCCTTAGATAGTCTGCCAAGATTCTTCCAAGATCCAAGAGCTATAGGCTATACGAGGGTTCTGTATCCAAGGACAGGTCCAATAACTTTTGTTTGATGCAGCTACACAACTATGACTCCGCTTTGGTATGAGATTTGTAAGGAGTCATGTTTTCATATAACTATAGTTGGCATCTCGATTGTTCCATTACGAAGGATTACTATATCTTTCTCTAAGAAGTAAGGGTGCTAAACCATATCCGTATCCGAGAAAATATTTGTAACCGTATCTGCTAGGATACGGATATGATTACTCAAATCTATAACCGATAGGATATGGTTACGGATATGGTTTTGTAGTGAAATATCTGTATCCGTATCCGAAATATCCGAGTACATATTAGTCATATTCTTACGATGGTTTCGATTCTTAGATTATTGATTTGTGGTTAATTTTGATGATCAAGATGTCTAATCTTAACTTTTCAGTTATAATGAAGATATTAACGAACTTGTTTGTATCACATGAACTATATTTTTCTCAATACTATCTACTTTTCTCATATCTATTTTGTATCTGTATGCATATCCGCTTATATATCCGCATGTATATCCGTAATTGTATCCGATTTTAGTGGATATGGTTATAAATTTACCGAGATATATCTGTATCCATATCCGAGATGGGTAAGCGGATATGGATATGGTAAGCATCATATCCGAGCCATATCCGGACCGTATCCGGACCGAATGCACCCCTACTAAGAAGTATCAGCAGCATGATTCCATAGCTGAACCCTTAATTTTGTAGCATTAAGCAAACAATCGAGAGCAACTCACGTGCTACATCATTCTCATGATAGCATTATCTTCTATAGAACAAAACAATATATAAGTTTCACACCAACCAAATCATTCGAACTGGGCTAAAAATTCACTACCTCAGTTGAACTACTAAACTTAGGGTTTAACACCAAACATCGTGGCTGTTCAATTATGAGAGTGATTACCAGATCATTCACTGGCCCCGCAAACAAAACATTATCTTGTACGGGACAAAACAACCAAATCATTCACTAGCTCAGCAAACTACTAGATCTAGGGTTTAGCTGTTCTCCCCAAACCCTAGAAATTACTTGAAGAAAAGAAAAAGAAGGAGATTTACGCTGTGAGGACGTTGTCGTCGCCGGAGGAATCGTCGAAGTCGTCGTCGACCTCCTCGATCTGAAGCTCCTCCATGTCGAGCTCGCGGATCTGCTCC